GTTGCTTCCCTTTGGGACGCTTTTAAACATTTTGAGCCTCTTTGCACATGAGCTACTGTTTAAGGGGATTCAATCGATTAGTGATGCTTCGGTGGTATTGTCAAGTGCAATGTCTACGCTACGCTGGTTTACCAAACGGACTTCGTCGTCACCTAATTTGCATTGGAAGTACCTTGTGGACTACTCTGGTACACTTGAGTGGCTTATAGTACTAGGATCCTGGATTCGCGTCTCCGAAACGCAGTAGACATCAATCCCCAAAGAGTCTACTGTACTTGCCAGGCACTGGTTGACACACCTGCATCAGAGTCCTCACTTTAGAGGCGCCGAGGTTCAGTGAGCCACTTGTTTCTCGAATCTGCACTGTATTCGGTCGTAAACTACTTGACGCTACCTGATACGGGTCGGAAGAAGAGGCATAGGGAGACGGTTGGGTATCGAAGGCAGGTTGAAATACCTGAGCAGTACACCTATGACCACCCACCCTCCACCATTTTGCTGACTGAGACGCTAACTCGAGTTGAAACCCCAATCCGGACGACCAGGAGGCTGAACTTTGTCTGAGCTCTACTCCTGAAGTGAAGAGATCTGGTTTGATAAAAATCGTCCTGTGTATTATGTTGAATCATAGAGGTGCATAAGCCATAACCACTTCAAGGTGCGGTCTCTTCCTGATGGAAATAAGCTTAAATCGTTCTTCGTGTTAGTCATTACCATCATTTTTGGTAATTTATCCTCGAATTTTGTAGAAAAGCAAATAGTTGCTAAGTATATAAATTTAATATAGAAATAATCGCAATTATAACACGACAATACACAAGAGTAGCATTAACTCATTGGTCGATTCATCCCATGACAATCGTGTAATATTTGAGTATCTCAAGTTCTCAAAAACGAGATTTGCATATTTTGCCTCAGTATTGTTTTGATGCCCTAGTTTTTCCGTCATTGAGCCGCGCACTTCCTGATCGTAACAATAGATGCTTTGCAAATAACATGAGTTTTCATGAGGAATATGGCATTGAGGAGAGTTCAAACAACTATGTGGTATTGCTCTTTAGCGTTACCCCACAACAAACAGTATCAAATATGCTTATCAATTTCGTTTTGGTAACATTGATCTGATGAATGATCCACACAATCGGTCGAACTTAAATGGATATTAGTGAACTGAATTTCGCCGTCATGCTTCATTCATCCAGGGAATCATAAGTGATATCGGGTGTTAGGAATCAAACAGCAATCCGAACAGATACGGTTAAACGGAAAATTTGGATGATTGATTTTGATATAAACTGAATGAAAGGCTGAAACAACAACGTTCAGAAGTTTGCTTGTTGTTTCCCCGCCCCGAAAACAATCCATTTGTGAATCACATTGTGATGCGCGATGTGAAATATTTGATGAACAGGAACTTCCAGCTCAGCGGTTGTGTAAGAGTGTCATCATAACAGCCCATTCATTCATTCAAAACCGCTGGACGACGGTTATGCAGCCAACGTGATCCATTGCGATTTACTGAAACCTATCTCCTTTGTTACAGTCGAAATATGTTGTAACTAGTTCAATTAAATGATAGAAAAGGATGATCAAAAGCAACTTGTTGTCTGCAAGACTACCACCGAGTTGTCCTACGAGACGGTTCCCGAATGATTCCAGTCAAAAACAATTGCAAAAGCCCGAGCGTTTATTGTTAGCGCCGGAAAAAGTGCACTGACTACCGGAAAATCTTGCTTTATTTATAAGATTACGTACAGTCTGGATTTTTCCGGAATGGAAACCATGAGAGCGGGGGAAGGGCGAGTCAGATTACCGTATTCTACCCGTTGCCGTAGGTCCCGCTGATCCAGTAACATCGAGAAAACACAGTGACGATTAGTCCCAATCCGTTTCAAAATGATGCCGTAGGAATTCTTAGTTGAAAGTTGGGTTTCCCTTCATACCGATCAAGTGCTCTACTCCGATTCCACTGAATTACAACACGAAACCTAACAGCTTACAAATAGCAGTGACAAAACCATCCTAGCTGAAGTCGGACATGTTTTACTATCCACCGTGGTTTAACTAACTTTTATTTATTCCTGGTTCAACAACTTGATCCTGGGAAATCAGTGTGATTAGTGTGATATTTTTAAACAACCCTTAAAAAATCAAGACTACCGTGCACCGGATTTGTATGGCAGAAGCTTGAAAAAGCTACGAATGAAATAGGAAAGTGTTGGGCATCTAGGTGCATATTGTGAATAAAAGAATTCTTGTTCTCTTTGGAACATCGACAAACGTAGACAATCAACTTGGTAGCATCAATGACTACTCATATACGTTGAACGCTACTCCCGGAAAAATCAATGTGTCACGCCAAACATACTTCCTTATTCGTCCATAATAATTCGAGACTCATGCTGTTTTTTCAGGGAGAAGGCCAGTGGTTTTGAAGAATCCATGAAGTACAAGAAACTTACCAATGCCCAGCGCTCTGGTCTTAACCAAATTCCGAACCGTCGTTTCACTCTGTGGTGGTCGCCAACAATTAATCGTGCTAATGTGAGTTTCTTTATTCTGTCCACTGTTGCTTCTACCATGATTCAGACATGTTTTCATTTCGTTGAGTAGCCCAAACTGGTTTGTCTTTTAGCAAACTATGAAATCGTCATCAAAATTGAGCTAACCTTGCGAACATAGCAGGAAATAATGCTTTCTAGTTCATTTTGGATTCTATCCTACCTTCCTTTATACCTCATTCAATTTCTAACTGCATTCAGTGCATTTGTGTAAGAAGCGGAAGATAAATGATCTTTTATTGCCACTCAGGTTTCACAGTAGAACCCAGTAACCGTTTTTCTTCGATCCTTTTGCTTCCCAGGTCTATGTTGGTTTCCAAGTTCAATTGGATTTGACCGGGATATTCATGCATGGTAAAATCCCCACCCTGAAGATTTCACTTATTCAAATATTCCGAGCTCATTTGTGGCAAAAGATCCACGAATCAGTTGTCATGGATATTTGTCAAGTTTTCGATCAGGAACTCGATGCACTGGAAATTGAAACTGTCCAGAAAGAAACAATTCATCCCCGTAAATCATATAAAATGAATTCCAGCTGCGCCGATATACTACTCTTCGCTTCATACAAATGGCCCGTCTCCCGACCAAGTCTGTTAGCAGATTCTAAGTGAGTTTTTTTTCTTTTCGTAGTTACCCTCAAATAGTTTTTGAAAGTCTCACCGCATTCAACCTAGTTATTTCCTATATTTCCCGGTTTTTCCTGTCCCGCTCTTAATCATAGAGATCTCATGGACGGCACGACAACTCAGAAGTTCTGGATAGATATTCAACTTCGTTGGGGTGACTACGATTCGCACGATATCGAACGCTACGCCCGTGCAAAGTTTTTGGACTATACTACGGACAACATGTCTATCTATCCGTCGCCTACTGGTGTGATGATCGCTATTGATCTCGCCTACAATTTACACAGGTCAGTGCCTAGTCTAATCTCGGTAGGTGCAAATGAATTTTATTTACGACTGTCATTTTGAGAATTTCTCAACTGTCGTCCATTATTATTTGGGGTTAAAATGCATGTTATCTGGTTTCCCCTTGTGTCCAATTTTTAGTCTTAACCTAGAAACCAACAATGTTCGCCCACTTTTTGATCAAAATGTCGTCATTGAACATGTATTTATAAATCACTTTCGGTCTATTTCCGCTAAGAAAATGAAATTCACCTAGTATCGATCGACTAGCTGATAGCCTCTGAGCATGCTTTGAGGCATAATTCAGTGTACAGCCCTGTCACAGGTACCTAGGTGATATTAAACCCTCATCATAAAGATCGAGTAAACATGTTACACTGTCAATCGAAAACGCGAACCCGACTCTGTTGAAACTAATCGCGAACCATTCAGGACTCTGACGCAGTGGCTCAGTCGCTGTCACCAGTGTGCTTTGGACCCTATGGTTCAAGCTACACCATCCAACTTTGGTGGTAAATAAATTTTCACGTCTAAGTTCAGACTGTGCCAAACAAATCGCGATACAATAATCTTTATGAAAAAGAAAGACGTTCCATGATCTGCATGTGGACCGAATATTGCCAAGTTGCTCTGACCAAGGCCGGTGAATTCTCTTGAGGAATCCATAACTGGAGCCTTTGGCTAGCCAAGGCCTGACCCGCAAGGTAGCGGGGCGGTGTGCGAAAACCGCAGTCTGTTGGGAGCGGGTATCCAGTTCATCGGATCATTCGCCCTTGGGACGGGGTCAAACGTCCAAGGTGTCCAATACACCTCGATGCCCAATCGAGCCGGTGACCACTGCCAAAACCAGAAAGTTGTGGTTCGTACGCCTCCTCTTGGTTGGTTTGGAATCAGGGTTTTTGGCCAACTCCCCTTGGTAACCTACCAGTGGTCCACTAACCCGGTTATAGCCCCAGATATCGGTTTTTCGTTCTCTCGCTTTAGTGAGAACATCTCCGCCACGAGAAAGCAGTGAGTAGGGCTTCCTCAGCAGAGGCTATTTGAGGTGCTTGGTTCTATGGGAACATTTCGCGAGATGCAAGGGGAGGGTGACCAACCGACCATACTGCGGCTTTTGGAGGCGCTTTGATGGTAGAAAACTTTTTTGTCGTACGGTTCAATACCACAACTTATGTGGCTCGGCACTACAAGTCCCGGGGCTTGAGGGACTGGTTTTCATCATTGAACAGCAGGCCTTCGCGACTATGAGTTCAGTCTCGTGTGTTGTTCACCACAAGCGCGTGTAGTAAAAATTTTAAAAAATCAACAATTTCGTGAACGGTACTGAGTTGGTCTCCATTCATATATGGAGAGAAGCAATTGTACTATTAACTTGCACGAATAGGGTGGGTCTACGGCATACCTCACTATATTGCGGTTCACTTATTTCGGATTCATTTTATCACGACCCTTTAAAAATCTGTAGTTCTTTATTGAAGAACCTACGTTATATTGCGGAATCTTGAGGTAGATGGGTATTCGTCCAACATTTATAGTTTCAAATATCTTACTTAAAAATTCAGAACAATTAATTTGAACAAAATCAAAGGATATTGGATCTAAATGAAATGCAGTTCACTGTATAGCTGCATAATTCATGATTTTCATCATTCAAATTGTTGTGCTCTTCACTGGTGAATACTCATGTTTTTAATTGTTGAAGCTGCGAAAGTTTAATGGTGTATAAAGTGCTTACGAGAAAGTAGGAAACGTCTATAGGAATGTGGTAGGAATTTAAAAGGCCTTGAAATGTTTTGATTAATGAATCAATAGAACGCCGCAACTTTGTGGATTTCCACTTATCGAGGAGTCCCCGGAACGCAACTCCCCCTACGGATTAGAGACCACTGTACTTTGTTCTCAAAACCGTGCTTGGATAGTCGCCCAAGATTCGCCATCCATGTTTTCGCACCTTAGTGTGCAATCAGTTCGTGTTTGTCCACTTAAGGCTTATATAGGTGAATGTTCAGTCTCTGAATCATTGAAACAAATTTATTTTATGAATAGGATTTATTTTTTTATGATGCGCTTTGTTCTAGTGGTAGCTTTTAGTGTACCATACTGTTCTTGCTTTTGCGTGCAGTGCATATGGTAATTGGTTCCCGGGCAGCAAACCGCTTATTCAACAAGCAATGGTCAAAATAATGAAAGCCAATCCGGCCCTTTATGTACTCCGCGAGCGTATCCGTAAAGCTTTGCAGTTGTACTCTAGCGAACCGACAGAACCGTATCTGAGTTCACAGAACTACAATGAGCTCTTCTCCAATCAAATCATTTGGTTCGTCGATGATACCAATGTCTATCGGGTCACAATTCACAAGGTAAGTGCCTATAAAACCTTTTCATATTCTTTTCAGTTATAATGTCCGAGATATCTACTACCCTTTTTGCAATGTTTCATTTCTCTCTAGTGATCAGTCACGATTACCCAATGTTTCTCGTCCAACCTAGTTCTCCCATCATACTTTTGAAAAACGGTGTAGATAGCGCTGCCCGTTCTTCCACACACTCAAGGGTTTAGCTCATTCTAAATTGATTGCTTCATCTTTGATAACGGATGACAGCAAGTCCTAAGTCCGAGAGAGCCATCCGTTTGCGGTAACTTCTGACCCACGTAAGCTTTCCATTAAGGAAACACTCAAACACATCTCATCTTCATATTGCTCGCTGGTTTACTTGCCCACATCGAGTTCCTAAGATAGCAAGTCTCTCATTCACCTGCTGTGAAACTTTTCATCTAAAGCCAAACCTATGACAACCCTCGGCGCGCAATTATGCGATCTTTTTATCTTTGTCCTTCTTTGTTGATCGCAATTTGTTTTATATATCCACTGTAAAAGTTCGTAAATTGCTGAAAATTCACCGTTTTGGTGCATAAAGCGTTTCTTGACTTGACTGGTTACATGCATCAAAGGTGAGCATTTCATTGGGCAAACTATACAACCTTGTAGGTCATAGATTAGCTTGCCGAAGTTGATGGGCGTAGGTTTGCTCAGCATGATAAACTGGTAAAACGTTTAGATTAACTTGTGCCATTTTCATGTCAAGTCATCCTAGTTTGTGAGTACCTCTTTTTTCAGACATTCGAAGGTAACTTGACGACGAAACCTATCAACGGTGCTATCTTCATATTCAATCCACGCACGGGCCAGTTGTTCTTGAAGATTATCCACACGTCAGTATGGGCTGGTCAAAAACGTTTGGGTCAGCTGGCCAAGTGGAAGACGGCTGAAGAAGTGGCCGCTTTGATTCGCTCGTTACCTGTTGAAGAACAGCCAAAGCAGATTATCGTTACTCGCAAAGGCATGCTGGATCCGTTGGAAGTGCATTTGCTAGATTTCCCCAATATTGTCATCAAGGTATGAATATGGTAGACTACTTTCCCTTAAACGAATTTCGGATAGCGATCGATCAACTTCCCGGTTAATTAACGGTCTGCAGTTAATGCGTTTTTATGACTCAATGACCTGAGTTTCTATATGTACGGTGTTGTGTCTGGTTACATGATGATTATTACCAATGATTCTGCACGTATAATCAAAATACGGTCATCAGTCTGAGGTTGTGTGTGATGTTAATCACCGATAGCACACAGGCAAACTTGTGGGAAGGTGAGGACCTTGGTATTCATTGTATGCCATGGTCAATTGTGTGATAAACTTCAAGCGGAGTAAACCCCATAGCCTCGAGGAACTGCTGTTCAGTCAAGGAAACCGGCAACCTAAACCAGGGGACTTGATGTGACAAATCGTATTATACCCCGCTAGTTTAGGTTTTGGACCACTATCGGAAGTATCTGTCGGGGTAATGGCTGTTAATAGTAATGGATGAAATGATATTTTAGGTAACTTAGTAGTGCATCATCTTTATGAAAAACGAGAAATGAACAATTTGTTTTCATTGTAAGTGTAGTTTCATCACAGAATTGTTTCCAACTTCATTGTGACCGTCATCTATCCTTTTTCATACTGTCTGCACTAACAATGTTCCACCCGATGAGTATTTGCTAATTGCAAACAACACGTGTTTGCACTTTGCTTTCAGGGATCCGAGTTACAACTGCCCTTCCAAGCTTGTCTAAAAGTTGAGAAGTTCGGTGACCTCATTTTGAAGGCCTCTGAACCACAGATGGTCTTGTTCAATCTTTATGATGACTGGCTAAAGACAATCAGTTCATACACGGCTTTCTCGCGCTTGATCTTAATATTACGTGCTTTGCACGTCAACAACGACAAAGCGAAAATCGTGCTCAAGCCCGACAAAACCACAATCACAGAACCACACCACATTTGGCCTTCGCTTTCACCGGACGACTGGATTAAGGTCGAGTATCAGTTGAAAGATCTCATTTTAGCAGATTACGGAAAGAAAAATAAGTAAGTTTTTCAATTGTATCTACTCTACTCTGTTTACTACGATACTAAATTTTACCAGTGGTTTTGAAGACATTGTGCCGATAAGCAGTAACCGCGGCTTGGAGTCGTTCGCCAATCCAGAATAATATGTCGATTTATAACGAAGCCCTTTTGTGACAAAACGTTTAATCCTCCTATATGATGCAGCGGCATGAAATAAGCATGCTCATTCCCTGTTTTGATGCTTAGTTATTTGGTCATAGCTGTTAATTCCTCCAACCTCACTTGCTTGGGTGATCCTCATTGCTTGATTCTGATCAAATGGACTCTGTCCATTTTTGGACTCACGTTTCTGCTTTCGATACTAAAGCTATTGTATCTGAATAATGTTGCGTGTAATTCCGTTGTCATAACGTCAATGTTTCTTTTCATCTGCGTTAGTCTTTCGCAAACTGAGCTTCTAAAGTGTTCACGGTATCAGATCCAAATATGGAACGGATGTCTTTGAAGAAATTGTGCGTCATGCTCATGGTTTTATTTCCGTATAGAAATGGTCGGATTAGCCACACCGAGAGAAAAACAAAATACAACTTTCGGTTGACGACGTCTCGACCCTTTTGGGAAGCCTTTGTCAAGTCAATTAACAAGCGAACATGAATCAAAAACTGTGAGAGAAACCGTATCAAATGGAGGTGCTTTTGATTAGTCTAGGGGAAGGAAAATCGAGTTGGTGCATGTGTGTGTGGTAATAAATGAGACTATGAAAGTTGGGAATAAAATAAGAGGTCACAGAGCCGAGGATGATGTCACAGGGGATGGCAAATTAGTCTGTGCGCAATTTTGTGGTCTGAAGAATTCATCAACCATTTTCACAAAAACATAAAGTTTACAATAGAAAAGCAAGACAAAAGCCTTAACTTCTTAAACTTTCAATGACTTAGTCAACTCATCAATATCCGTGTGCAGATATTTGTCCCGCTCCTTTGATCCCCACATAAACATGTAGGCTACTATGGCGGCCAACCAGAGCAAATAAATTCGTCTCAAACAAAAAGGACAAATGCGAAGAAGTTTAACCGGTCACAAGGGAGTTGGTGGATAACGTATATCCACCTAGTTTTTCTACAGAAAATTCGCAAGTCTTAAGATCTACAGAACCTGAAATCAAAAAGGTCGATTGGATCGCAACTGGTGTCATATTTAAGCGCCGCAATACATCAGAAAATATCCAACGACTATTAAACTGTTTCAATATGTTGGTCGTATTTCGGGCAACCAACATCCTTCGTTCACTCTTGATACGACTTAGGGACAAACGACCAACAGTTGATCAATCCAATCTCATTTACGAGATGTAAACAGTGTACAGCCACTTACGTTGGTCGAACAAGTCGACAACTAAAGAAACGGGTAGTCAAACATGACAGGATATCGAAACACCCTCCAAGAAATACATCAGCCCTTAAGACCCTTGAGAGGGACTCAGCTATCGTTCTGCATTGCATTTCTGAGGGACATTCTATAGGCTTCGAAAAACCGATTATTCTAAAACAAGGTTTCAGGTCATATAGAGAACTATCAGTTACTGAGTCATTGTTCATCAACAGTAATCTACTTTGCCTCAGTCGATCGGACGGGGCCCAGTTATCAGTTCACTGACTTCATGTAACTTGCACAACCAACCTCCACACACCCATGCATATTGACACACAACATTAAATCTCGCCACACCCATCTCCTATGATGTCGTCCTTGGTTCTTTGACCTCTTGTTTCATTCACAATTATTACCGCACACACATGCACCAACTCAATTTTCCTTCCCCTAGACTAATCAAAAGCACCTCCATTTGATACGGTTTCTCTCACAGTTTTTGATTCATGTTCGCTTGTTAATTGACTTGACAAAGGCTTCCCAAAAGGGTCGAGACGTCGTCAACCGAAAGTTGTATTTTGTTTTTCTCTCGTTGTGGCTAATCCAAACATTCCTATACGGATATAATAATTATGGAGTGTTCATCTTGCCCTCGTCAGAACTTTTTAATTTTTAGGAGGGGGGTGACTACAACCGGAATAGCAATTTATGTATCACCAAATCAAATGGATGCCTTTTTTCTTTGCTTCATCAAACACGTTTCTTCCTTACTGAATACCAAACGAAAAAGGCTTTTTCCCCGTATATATGAACGCTTTGTCATGTTAGTTCACCTTATACCATTTGTATCTTTTTCCACACTCAGTGTGAACGTGGCCTCATTGACACAGTCCGAAATTCGTGATATTATTCTGGGCATGGAAATTTCTGCACCTTCGCAACAGCGACAGCAAATTGCGGAAATTGAGAAACAAGCCAAAGAACAGTCTCAATTAACCGCGACCACAACCAGAACGGTGAATAAACACGGTGATGAAATAATTTCCACCACTACATCAAATTATGAGACACTTCACTTTAGCAGCAAAACCGAATGGCGTATTCGAGCTATTTCGGCCACGAACCTTTATCTGCGCACGAATAACATCTACGTCAGTTCGGATGATATCAAGGAGAATGGATACACTTACATACTACCGAAGAATATCTTAAAGAAATTTATCACTATATCGGATCTCCGAACCCAGGTCAGCTAGTTCGCTTTTGAACCCAAACATCGCATTTGCTCTCGTTCAAATTCCTCATCTTATCATTCGTTACTTATTTCTTTCAGATTGCTGGCTACATGTACGGTGTCTCTCCGCCAGACAATTCGCAAATCAAGGAAATCAGGTGTATCGTGATGCCACCACAATGGGGTACGCACCAGACAGTGCATCTACCAAATGGTCTCCCGCAGGACGATTACCTGCGTGAAATGGAGCCCTTGGGCTGGATTCACACCCAGCCAAACGAATTGCCCCAACTATCACCTCAAGTGAGAGACTTTTTTCGTTGCTAGACATGTTTGATCGTTACACTAATCTGATTTTCGTCCTTATGTTGCACTAGCATCTCAGCAGTCGTTGAAATTTGAAAATGTTTCTTTCCTATCGCTTTTATTTCATGTAGGACATCACTACCCATGCAAAGATATTCTCCGACCAGGATGGAGAAAAAACGATTGTGATCACTTGCAGTTTTACTCCCGGCTCTGTTTCCTTATGTGCATACAAGCTCACCCCTGGTGGCTATGAATGGGGTAGACAGAATACGGATAAGGGGAACAACCCCAAAGGCTATTTACCCAGTCATTATGAACGTGTACAGATGCTGCTCTCTGATCGATTCCTCGGGTTTTTCATGGTGCCCCCACAGAGTTCGTGGAACTATAATTTCATGGGTAAGTCACTCCTTGGTAACTTTGTCGCACGTTTGTGTGCAATCCTTGTATAACCATTTATTTCTTCACGTCATATCTACAAATGTTTATGATGTGGGCAGTAGATATATCTTCAAATATTCATTCAGCTATTTTATACAACTGAGCAACCAAAAGACAGCAACCAAAACTGGCGCATGGTTAATGGTTGTAAAAACTGGAAACCATCGCATGCGTGGGATTAACATGAATATTCTTCTTTTTCATTCTTCTGTACATGTGAAAGCTATAATATTTGTTTTTTTCTTTCGTTTGTTTCCACATCTCAGGTGTCCGGCATGACCCGAACATGAAATACGAGTTGCAGCCGCTCAAACCGAAGAAGTTCTATCATCGTATTCATCGCCCTTCACATTTCCTGAACTTTACATCTATTGAGGAAAATGAGTTGACTTCGGCGGATCGTGATAACCCGTTGGCATAAATTGTGTTTCATTGTATTCATCGTGACAGTCGTGATTGCAGTTCAATTTTCACACTCTTGTACACTTCATTCTAATCCAAAAAAATATTTTAAACATCCAATATATGCTTTTTACTTCCAAACATTGATCAATTTTTCACTCGCCACTTATCCTCTCCCGCAGTTAATGTCAAATTGCACTCGATAGGCCTTCGAACGTAGTCGCTAGCTTGTAATTGTAGTACCCAGATGTCCGTTGTCATTCCATCTTTATGGAAGATGCATGCAGTGTGACTTAGTAAATGAAGGCTGTCACTTCCTTACTATAATGGCATCCGCAGGACTACAGATGCAGTCTTACCAACTAAAGTTTCCAGCACTCCTTTTGATTCTGGGTCTGAGAATTGCAGTTAATTGGAGGTTGATATCCAGTCCGTGATTTCCTAGGGTTAGAATCGTATACCCCTCGGGAGTTTCAAAATGAGCTTTCCATTTACCATAGATAGGTTATTTGTCCAGAGTTCAACAAATTTTCGCACTGGTGGTTGCTAAGCCGACCTATGCACAGGAAGGTATTGAATCATTCGAGTGAATAAACTCCAAAGTTGTTTGCGGAGTCTTCTAATGAAGATTAAGGAGTATCAAAACTGCTTTATTCCAAATGGTTGACCATATATACAGTAACACAGGATGATGGAGAAACGGTTGTAATTTGGTTTATGCTTGAGACTGTCTCTCCAATCCGGACTGCCGTGGATTTACAGCATGTAATTCTTTGAGGGTGGGGGGATCAAGCGTAATCACACTTGTTGCACTTGATGGAAAATTTTCAAGATCACTAAGTAGTCTTCACTGATCGTTTGTCGAAGAGATCTGCAGGTATGTGACATAGGCGTATAGGCCGCTGGTTGCCGTGCCCTTCTTGTTAGTCCTCCCATGCGCGAGGAGTTTTCGGCTGAAGGTAAGTGTTACACNCACCTTTTATGCGGAGGCGAAAGCTGTATGGTTACATAAGTAAATAAAAGACAGTAACTTATGTTCATCAGTGGGTTGAGGTTTTATTCAACACCAGATTCTCCACCGTGCCTTGTGCGAGTGATTCTCTATGAAAATATCCTCATTATTTGAGGGCTTGAAAGGAATGGTTGCATACGCGGAGGAAGAACAGTGTTAGAACCGAACGCAAGGGGCTGATCAGAAAAAAATTGCGTATTTGTCAGTGACAGTCGTGTGAGTTTCCTCTATGTCAGTAACGTTAGAGCTTGGTGACAGTGTTCATCAGGGCAACAAGGGTGCATTCACTTCACCAAAACCTCGTTGAGAGGTGCCCGTCGGAAATAAAACATTCTCTTGGAATGGCCTGGAATGAAAATAGAAATGCTATACCAACTAGAATTAGATGAACATTTTGAGTCGAGAAGTCTGCCGTTTCCAAGAAAACAGGAGATCGAAACGCTTGAACACTGACATTCTGGAGGTATAGAGGATCCATTGACCATGCCAATATTCATCAAAGTGATTGTAACTCCATGTAGCGTATTGGACCAAATGTGGTGGATGAGGAAAAACGGCCAATCAGAAGGCTGTCGTGAATGTGACTGTGGTTAGATCTAAATACACGACCCTCAGGGCAAAATTGCTCATCGCCATTGATATTTTTTTCTATTTGCCTCGCTGATTAAAGCTAACATAGATGATAATTTTTATTTCCTCTACCAATAGCAGAAACGTTTCAAAAAATGAACTGTACAAGAGGCTTGTTCAGCTGGTCACTGTATTTTGTTCCTCTGGCGGCCCAACTTTAGAAACTAACTACGTGAAAATCGGTTTGCGTGGCACCAGGTTACCTGTCTTTCATAGACTTCAAATTCTCAGTTACTATGAGGAGAGAACAACAGCTTTCGTCAGCAGCTGTGCGCATCCCAATATCGTTGGATAGTCAACTGTGTATTTGTTTGAAAAAAATTCATCGGATATCCTTCAGACCGTTTCAAAATAGGTTTTATGAACCCGATAGGTCAAGTTTTCACTATTTTTGACAGGGTACGGTGGGGAAATATATACATAAATGAGGAAGAAATGACAAAACAATGGCGTTTAATAAAAATAAAACAACACCAACGCGATGGGTATTTTATCGAGTCTACAATGACAGATATACTATTTCTAGTGCATACAGAGAGATAACTGCACATCCTTCAAGAAGAGTAATTTTACCGAGGATCACTAAAATTCGAGCTCGTGATCAGCAACACAATAATCTATGGTTGTGAATTGTAGCTGCAGTGTGATACCCTTTGCCATTTGAAGTCCCGTTCTGCCGCGAGTTTCCTTATTCTTTTTCTTCCATTTACCTCCACCTACTCTACATTGCGATATTTATTCCGATCACGCCGAGAACCACAGTAAGTTTTACCCCCGTCAGCTGGTGTACCACTCTTGCCAATCAATAAGGAGCTCGTATAGAAAATCCTTCTACCATTACATTAATCTATGATCGGAAGGTATGGTGTTGTTTTACCTAGTGTATGTTACGTGTTCACACTCAACCGCGGAATTGTCACCCGCCCATTTAGTCACACTGTTCTGTTGTACGTGTAAACCTTCTCCTGCACTTCATGCTTCATAAACGTTCATTAAGCGTCTCGGTGTTCTCCTTCGATCTGAACAATGGTCATATTGCTCTACATCTTTAGTTGCAAACAGTGGGGGTAAATTGTTTGTTTTTTACCTTAGAAAGCCCGTGCTATCTAACGTCAGTACTGGGGAAAACCAAAACGTTAATTAAAGATCACGTCTTTGAGTCTAACTGGGTTTTAAGATCAATTCCCAATTCTTTTTATGGTTCTGGAAGTAAGACGTGATAGTTGGTAATGGTAACTTCTCTGGAGGCAAAAGATTAGTTCAGTCGTTGGAAATGTTCATAGGTATCTTTTTTCAACGAAAGAAAGATGTCAAAACGATTGTAATGACTGGAAGCAATTGATGAAGAGAGACTGCACCTTGGTGTGATGTGTTGTACACCTCTACAACCCAATGACTTTTGTCATGCATGGAAGGTCAGACAAAGTTCAATCTCCAAGCTGGGGCCTGTATTTTGTGCATTATGAGTTTCGCAGCGTTCAGTGAAGTTCGCTTCACTGTACGATGATGATGACAAAAAAGATTGATCTAAATCTGTCGCAAACTATATGGAGAAACAATCAACTAACAAAGTAGTATCAGAAGTGGGTGCATTAGGGTCAATGTAATGATTTAATGAAAACGGCTGATAAAGTGGGGCTTACGAAACACTCAGACAAAGTAAATCTTAGCGGTATTGAAATAGCAAAATATGGCTGATCGTTTTCACACCCTTGTTGCTCGACAAAACTCCTCTCTTTAGAAGTTCACATGTCGATCTCGAAAACTAATAAATTCATCGATACGTGTTATCCTGACGTGCGGTCGATCAAATTGTGCGCTCCCGGTTTAATCGAAATCTCGTCGTACATCGTCGAGTCCACGTTCATTCGATCCAGTTTTGTGAGCTCTACCTTGTGATATCATTCCATTGGAAGTAAATTACTCATATCTCTCCATTGAGCAGTTTTCCTGTTATCATCGAAGCTTTGGGATTTACTGACGCGTGCAAAATTGTGCAATTTTATTTGCTGTGTCAACATTGTGATATCGCTCGATGGGAAATTCAACAACCTTTCCAACGAGCCTTGATTGAGCTTTCTAAGTTCAATTTCAAGCATTCTACGGATCTATTTGTGCAGTTCAGTGCAATCANGCACTTGTGTCTGTTCCACTGCGGCCAGAAAAGCCGATCGATATTCCCCAAGTGACCTTTGTCATTGTTCTATGTACTTGTGATCTCCACTGATCCGGACGAGCGGACGACCGAGATAACTTCTCTCGCTTCATGTGACCTTTTTGTATATTTCGTCAGTCTCGCCGCTCGATAAAGTGCAAAAATGGGACGTCGCATAGTGTCAACAAGTGTTTCGACGGCATCGGAAGTATGCGGCCTACGGAGTTGTAGGAAAGAAGTTAAAATGGGGATATTCTGCACACACACTGCCTGAAACACTTTCACGTTTCATGTGCCAAACTCTCGGTAAAACAGGCAAAACAGTTAACCACCCAGCCAGA